TGGTCAACAATTGTTGTTGCTAGTTGTTTGAAGATGTGCCATTCTCACTGGGGTGAGGTGGTATCTTATTGTGGCTAAACGTATGATATTGATTCCATGTATTAATATTCTAACATCATAATTCATTTATAGTTTTTAAAATATAGTTTTAATAAAGACAATACAGAGATTCTTTGCAAAATAGCAGTCTTCACATTAAATTCATCTAATATTCACCACCTCCAGGTAGCTATCACTGAAATCCAGTCATGCCTTCTCTCTGCCTTTGATCTCCTAACCTCAACTTCCCATCAGACACTTCTAACACTTCCACAGTTTTCATGGTCACTTTAAACACCAAGTATCCAGAACCATCATGTGACCCTACCTTCCCACTAAACAAGTCAGACCCCAAACTCCTAGTTTCTATCAATAGTACCATCTTTCATCCACACATGTACTGATGACTTAGTCATTTGCCATACACATGCATTTCTTTACCATCTTCTTATCCAGTGATTACCAAATCCATCTCAGTGATAGGAAAAAGGGATAAAGAACAGATTTACCCTAAGAAAATTCCACTCGACACATGCTTTACCTGTACCAAAACTTCTAGTGACCTTCTGATTAATGTTAAAAATGCTGTTTCAACCTGGCCCACCTTGCTAGTCAATGGTATCCCCATTTATTCATAATGTGAGTCATGTTCTCTATCTTGCCAGGCCTATCAGGGTGTCATCTTGATCAGATCAGAAGCCAGCTCCATACCCAGACCATTTATATTTGTCTGCGTTTTCACACATAGTAAAGATCCCTTGCCCCTTTTATTTTTCCTCCTTATCACAGTCGTAGCTGTATTTTATTCTCATGTGACACTCCTCAGTCGGTGCCTTATTTTTCCCTACACTGGCCTGCCATTTTTAGATATGCTGTTACTTTTCCCACCTGTGCCCATTCTGCCTAATTTCCTAATTTTGAAGTCAACAACCATGTTTTTTGTTGTTATTGTTTAAAGTGAGCATGTTCCAGTTTATTTATTTACTTCTTTAAGATTTATTTATTTATGCTTACAGAACTGGAGCACAGGCCAGAGGTGTGTGGGGGTGAGAGGATTCACTAGAGACAGAGTGGGGAGAAGAACAGGCAGATGTACTGAAGTACACTGCTGAGGGGAGCAGCAGGTGGGACAGGAGGGGTCTACTGTGCCATGTGGGTCACCTCCCTGGCTGGGGATCGAACTCACGCTGCATTGGATGCAATAGCTTCGCAGTGCTGTGCTTTAACCCATTGTACCACTATTGCTTTCTTTGCTTGCAGATGGATATTAAAAATTGGGGAAAAAATAATGTATTTAATGTCCATCTCAATTCATGTGTTTATGGACTGTTTTATAGTCAAGGAATAAAGTCAGTATATCATTGACCTAACTGTAATTTGGAGGCCTCATCTGCTGCTCTACAGAATTAAAATTTATGCCAGCTGGATCATGCAGCTTTTCAACTGGCTCTCTCTTAAGGAAGGGGGAGCAGACCAAGTGCCTCAGGCGTGGACATTGGAAAGGGTGTGAGTTCCATTATGCAAGAATAGAAGCTTCTTGCCCTTTCACTCTGCCCTCCCCCACTAAAATCTTGCCATGAGGTTATAGCCAAAGAATGCATAAATATCATTAGAAATGTAGAGAGGGATTTTCCTCAGGAAAATATTGCAAACTTTAAAAGTCCAGTAGACTAAGGTACAATTTGGTAGATTCCTCTGGATGATGCCTGCCTCCGCTTAGATGATTATGTCGGGAAAGAGAAATAGAGCTCACATCTGGCACATCACTGATAGATTACAGTAAAGTTCCAGACGTGGTGTCTTGGCACGCTGTCCTCCTTGGGCACCTCTTATCTCAGCTGAAAGCTAATAAAGACGGATCTTTGCACATAGAACTCTACAAAGCTGAAGAAGGCAGCTTGCTGCCCAACCAAGCAAATATCCTTTGACCTGGCCACTCAGAATGGCACTCAATAGTTCACTGGTGCAAAGAGGGACGCCAGCCAGTCACACCCGCTGACCAGCGGCAGTGGCAGGGGGCATTCATTTCTAAGGTAGCAGTTGGTTTTCACTGAACCAGCCACCTCTCTCTATTCTCTGCTCCCAGCACTAGAGTGTTAAGAGTTAGATCCTTAGAGAAACTCTTTTAATGTCTCTTTGAAGGGTGGTACTTTTAAATATCTTTTCTGCTATGGGAATATGCAAACAGATTTCTGCTTCATGTTGCTTTGGTACTCTGACTTGCGTGTTTTGTTTTGCGGGCTAGAATGTATTCTATGGAGACTATTTGGCTTGTAAAGGAATTGTGATAATCAGTTTCTTATGTGAGAGAAGTAAAGTTCATTTGCAGCTAGCAGCTTCCCAAAGCTGGAGATGGGAAGGGGTTATCTATTCATCTGTGGCAGAATCCACATTTCTGGTTATCTGTTCATCTGGCAAAATCCAAGTGTCTAAAGTATTTGAAGGGGTGACTTTCAAAGCAGAGAAAACACCCTTGTGAGAAATGCAAGCCTGTTCATGTCCTTATTCAGTTGGGAAGCTACAGGGAGGAAAAGATGCCTGGGAGTTGGGGCTCACTGTTAGAATTGATATCAAGAGCGTATGTGCCTGCGAGACTCTTTTCACCTGATACTGAGCATGCTGGGGTGTGGCTAGTAAAACGAATACTGTGTGCCATGTTCACTTCCTTAGGGCTTTTTCTAAAAAAAAAGAAAGCACTTTAACGATAAAATTTTCAAGCAAATAATCCAGTTATCAACAGCATAGCATTTGCAGCCTACAACATACTGTATTTTATTTTTCCTTTTGACTCAAAAGGGCAGGTTTGGGGAAAGGAAGTGGAGGGAAGGCAACTTGCAGGAACAGAAGTGGGCAGAAAGAGCTGGCCCTTTCAGGGGCAGCTTTGTTAAATAGCTGCCTGCATGGTAACAGGCAGGCTGGGGATGTGGCTTTGCAAAGGGAAAAGGGTGGTGAAGAGGCGCCTGCTAGGCACAGGCAGGCAGGAATGGTGCTGCCTGGTTTTGGCTATTTCTGTATTTCTGCTGGAGGCATCAAAGTGATTCCATCAGTCTGTTCATCTAAGAGTAAAGGACACTGGGAGAGCTGATCAGTGAGTCACATTTGCTAAGTAGTTGAGGATGATACAAGGCCATCAGCCTAGAGCCGTGAAGCTCAGGAATTTCAAACCTGACTGTTACAATACCTGCAGCCCACATTGGTATGAAATCTCACCATCGGTAAAGTGTGTTCATCTGCACTGTAACTGGATCCTATCTGTAACCCCTTCAGGCTGGGTGTGAGAAGGTGGCTTATGCACTTGGGGATTCACAGATATTCTTGCACAGGAAGATAATTTGCCACATGCAGGGATGTTCCCCTTCATAAAATCATATGGGAAAAGAAATGGGCCACTGCTGTCTCGAAGTGAAAGTGCAGGGCATTAGGCATTGCACACCTGCTGGTTCATTGCACACCTTGCATTCACAAGTTAAGGGACCTCACCACCCCAGGACCCACGGGAGCCAGCATTCTGGTTCAGGCGGTCTCCCCAGCTAGTTCATTCCTGCCAAGTATACTCATAAAAGAGAGGCCAGTGGGAACAGGGGTTGTGCTTCCACTGTGGTGATTGGTAACCATGTAACTTGTGAATAGCATAATTTTATGGAAATTTTGTAGCTAAGCTTCAAAAGTAGTTGCCATTAGTTATCAGATGCAGCAACAGCTGAAAAAGGCTTTCAAACCAGTTCCAACTTGTCTTTTTAGAGATCCTGGTTGTGGACACCTGGTTTATTTTTCCAAAGAGGCTTATTTCCTCCAGGTATAGGTGTGCTGACAGAGGAGTGTTGATTTGTTCCCTGTTCATCAAACTGAAGGCCTCAAGGTGTGGCCACAGTTGGGATTCTGAATGACTAGCAAGGCATAAATTGATCATGTTTTGAACCTGAGGTGTCCACATTCCCAGGCCCTGGGGACCATATTCCTAATAAAATTTAAAACACAAGGGACATTTGTGCCCCTAGAGGAGCTTGGATGTTCTGGTTTGGGCTTTGGTTTTTTCATTTCTTCCTTTCTTTCTGTGAACTTGGTGAAACCACCTTCAGATGGCTCATTAGCCCAGTACTTGGAGTGTTTTGGTTTTGATTATATATATATGTGTGTGTTTTACATCATCCTTTTGTACATTTTTTCATCTCGGTTGTCATCCCTGTGGACAACCCACCACCACTTCCCCTGTGTGCCATCACCATTGTCCTGTGCGCTCTTCCTGCCTCAGCTTTGATCCTGTTCCCCTCTCCTCCCCGGTAGAATGTCTCTGGTTTGTAGTTGTTAGTTGATGTTTATTTTTACTTTTTACAATTACTATATATATATATACAAACACACACACACACATATATATATATACATTTTTTTTTTCCTGATCCCTGACACTCCTGCTATGAGTGAAACCATCTGTTACTTGGAGTGTTAATTGAACTCTTATGCACTGGGACACACACCCAAGAGTTTTACTATCCCGCAGATCATTTGTTTTTCCCTTTTCTGACCTGTCCAGCTCAAGGCCCATGCTTAGTGATACTACTGATAAGTTTTCTATTTCCAGATGAAATTCCTGATGAACCACAATGGCCCTAGTATTGAGAGGGGTGGAGGGAGGGCGGGGGGTCACTTCTCGTGTGGTGGTCCTATGGATATCAACTGGGTGTGAAAGCTCACCTGTCCATGTTATCTCCTGAGGGAAGTGCACACAGAGTATAAAATTTATTACAACCTGTTTAATAACCTGCTGTTTGCACTCAGGGAAAGCATGATGGTAGGAAATTGGAGGATGACTTAAAGCATTCCTTCTCAAGCTGAAACGCATGTCAGTTTATTTGTGAGGTAGCCCATCCTTGTGCTTACACTCTATTTAATGACAATGTTTTGCTTTTCACTGCTCAGCTTCATCGTTGTCTTTTTTTTGTATGTGATTGCAGGTCCCACAGGGATGGATCTCTGGCAGCTGCTGCTCACCTTAGCAGTGGCCGGCTCCAGTGATGCTTTCTCTGGGAGTGAAAGTAAGTTCTGCTTTCCCTTTCCTACCGCCAATGTTCTGCAACCATGCTGACCTCTACTGAGTTAGGAGATGCAAATGTCAAGTAACAACAACTAGAAAAGGTAGCTTTAAAATAATAAACCAAGAGGACTTGTCTGTGAGTGTTGATTTTTTTTTTTTAAAGATTTATTTATTTGTGCATACAGAACTGGGGTACAGGCTAGAGAAGCAGGGGCAGTGAGAGGATTCACCAGAAACAGAGTGGGGAACAGAACTGGCAGATTGACAAAGTACACTGCTGAGGGGAGCAGTGGACAAAACAGGAGAGGTCTGCCGCGCCATGTGGGTCACCTCCCTGTCTAGGGATCAAACTCATGCTGAAGCTGCTGCCATAGTGTGGGTAGTGCTATGCTTTACCCTGGGTGTTTTAGGGGGAACACAGTAGTAAGCGTTGGTGCTGATGTTTTCACATCAAATATACAAGCTGCAAAGCATGCCGAGGGCATTTGTGTTGCACGAAGCCAGCTCTCTTCATCCTGGGGCTAGGGAGAGATATTGAAATTGCACTCAAGGGTTACTAACCTCCCTGTCACTCAGCTCATCTCTGACGAAGGTTAGCATAGCCTATTTCCAGAGCAATTCCACAATTAAGGCTTTTTTTTTAAAAAAAGATTTATTTATTTATTCATACAGAACTGGGGTACAGGCCAGAGATGTGGAGGGTGAGAGCATTCACCAGAGACAGACTGGGGAGCAGAACAGGCAGATTGACGAAGTACATTGCTGAGGGAGCAGCGGGCGTGTCAGGAGAGGTCTGCCCCCGCCATGTGGATCTCCTCCGGGGCAGGCGGGGATCGAACTCATGCGGAAGTAGCTTAAATTTCTTAGTGCTGTGCTTTAACCCGCTGCGCCACCAGGGAGGGCCCAATTAAGGGTTCTTAATCACATTTTCTAAGAGCGGAAATTTCAGGTTTCCAATAAATTTCACCTCGTACTTTTAATTTAAGACCATTTGTTTAAATGTGAAAGACGAGACACCCAAAATAGTTGCACAAGATACTCAGAAGTCATGAGCAATCTTCACCATCTCAATAATTCTCCCTCCTTTATTATACTCCCTTCCTAGTGGAGAGGTCTTAATTGATTCGAACTTATGTCTCAACGTCTCATTGCAGAAGTAGTTGGAACAAGAGGGCAATGGAGGGGGGGAAATAAGGATTTTTCTTTCCAAAAAGAAGCCTGTACTCATAGAGAGGTGACAGACTTTTTTAAAAGTCGCCTGAGTACTTGATTTTTCCCCTTGCTCAGTCTTCACCAGAGGAGAGAAACGATCTGTCTCTCCTGTGCTGGCAACACTCTGTTGTTGCATTAAGGAGGGTGGGGGCGACTCCCTTGCTCACGGAGCTCATGTGGAAAACACAGTTTAGCAGCAGAGGTGGTGGTGGTGTCTTCTGATGTCCTCCCTGACCTTTGAGCTGGAAATAAATTCATAGTAGTGAGCTGCTGAGGTAATGAAGAGACCAGGAAGGCTCAAATATGTTATTTTCTCTCTTAAAGCAATTTAAAAATATTTATAGAAAAGAAGTCATAATTGTTTGAAATCTTTCTGGGTCTCTCTGGTGTTACAATGTCAACATTATGCAAGTCCAACAGGGAGAGAATTGCAGGCTCCATTTCAGCAGCTTTTCCCAGGGCTGGTTTTAGATCCTGGTTCTGAGCCAAAGAATTACAGCTGAGATCCTGCACTCTTCCAAAGTCAGGGTGGCTTAATCTCTACTTTCTTCACTGAGGTGACTTTCACTCCACTGGGCAAGGCTTGAGGAATTGTCAAAACCTGTGCAATGAAACTATGGCAAAGGAACTCTTTCAATAAAATTTAAAATGTATCCTCAGCTGAAATATTAGGGCTCAAATTACCTTTTAGAACTTGAGAATCTTCAAAGAACATCTATTTCTGTTGCTTTGACATTTTAGTAAACCTCTAACTTCAGGAAATGGAAGAGCAATGCCATTTTCTGGTTGTATCTTTTACATGCTTTGTTTTTTCTGGTTTTTTGTTTGTTTGTTTGTGAGGAGCAGAAAGTAAGAAAATGCAATGATATTTATTAAGACCAAATCATACAGCTATCAATCCTTAAACATAGTAAATAATTTAGTAAAGGAAAAGATTTCTTCCTTTCCTTTATGCTTAGTGGACTAACCAAAACTCCTTTGCAATACACCTTAAATTGGTCTAGGGATTGTTAAGGACAGAATATGGTATTTACAGAAGAAAGTGTAGATGGGCATGTTCTAGCATGAGAGAGTGTATGTGTGCTTGTGTGTGTTTGCCAGCCATGGCCATTTATCACACAGAGTAACTAATGATATCATTCATGTGCTATGTATTCTTTCCTGCCAGGTCCAGATGGTAGCCAAATTATTTTATTTTTATTATCTCACCAATGTATTAAAATATAGGTGAGAATTGGGGGGGGGGGGAGAGGCACTCCTGTAGTAGGACCAACCATTCATTTGAATACAGTTCAGTCAGTGAGTGACGGGCCCGTGCTGAGTAAGGGATCTGGGAGGCGTCACCTGCAGAAAAGTTGTCTGGGAGCAGGAGAAGATGACAGATCTGTATGTCTGGGGAGGCTTGGCACTTGAAACCTTGAGTAGGCTTTTTCTTGCCTGGGCAGATGAGCAATTAGAAATATACCAGCCCTGAGAGGATTTTTTATTAAGTCTAATTGCCCTATGGGAAATTTAATGAGAATTAAACTTTGAACAATGCCACCATTGTACTAGCTAGTGCTTTAATAGGTGCTCCCTCTTGGTCTTTCATCCTTAATAGGAGTCTCTACATTGACTCCTCAAGGGAGTTTATCAAGTCTCAGGGAGAATTTCTTTTTCCAAAATCAGGAATGACCAACAGTGCCTATTTTCAGAAGACTTCTCTGTTAGCTGATTGCATTAAAACTGTTGCTCCTGGGATGATGACCTTGATGAAAAATGTGATAAAAGATTCAATGGGTATTCTTTCAAAGAATAATTTATAAAGTAGGTGATACATCTCTACTATTTTAATCCACCCACAACTGAACATCCTCTTTGACCTCAGCAGCCTCAGGTGAGTGCAGGTAAGGCCTGCCATTCTGAAGAAGTTCAGTCTACTGGACCGGTGGGGCACTACAAGACAGTAAGCTTTGAGAACTAGATTGTATAATGGATACAAATGGTAAAGATACTCTGAGTAAGAATAAATCCAGGTGATGGCCTTCCCTGGTAGTGCAGCAGGTTAAAGCACAGTACTAAGAAGCTAAAGCCACTTCAGCATGAGTATGATCCCCACCCCCGGAGGTGATCCACATGGCACAGCAGACCTCTCCTGACCTGCCCACTGCTCCCCTCAGTAGTGTACTTCATCAATCTGCCTGTTCTGCTCCCCATTCTGTATCTGGTGAATCCTCTCACTGCCACTGCACCTCTGGCCTGTACCCCAGCCCTGTATGCACAAATAAAAATCTTTTAAAAGAAAAAAATAAATCTAGGTGGATCAGAATGGTTAACTGAATAGATTTAGTATAGCTATTTCTTTAGAGCTTTTTACATTCAAAGGTTGAACTTAGGGGTCTAAGAAATACCATGTCCTCCCTGAAGGACTTTAATATGTATTAAAAAGACCAAGAATATACAAAAAGAATTATGAGATGAGGCAGCATCTGTTAACATTGAAATAGTAGACTCGAACAGATAGAGGAAATAATGACTCAGTAGAAATGACTTTTTTTGTTGTTCAATAAACCCTCCCCTCTTACAGCTGAAGTTCCAAGGGGCTCTGAGAGGTTGCTTAGACATGTGGGAGTTTTGTTTTTGTTTTGTTTTTTTAAAGATTTATTTATTTGTTCATACAGAACTGGGGTACAGGCCAGAGGCTCAGGGGCAGCGAGAGGCTTCACCAGAGACAGAGTGGGGAACAGAGCAGGCAGATCAAGAAGTACACTGCTGAGGGGAGCAGCGGACGGGTCAGGAGAGGTCTGCCGTGCCATGTGGACTCCTCCCGGGGCAGGAGGGAATCGAACTCATGCGGAAGTGGCTTAAGCTGCTCAGTGTTGTGCTTTAACCCGCTGCGCCACCAGGGAGGGCCGACATGTGGGAGTTTCTTCAAACAAGCTTTAGAGTGATGCTTGCAGCTGGGAAACAGTAAAGGGTATGTATGTTAAATATTTTCAAAAACAAACAATCCAGGGCTTTCCAGTTACATGGAAATTGAGGGGGAAAGACACAGAGCTTTAGGGTGCTGCCATCACTATGAGGCAAGAAGGAATCTTCGTGGGTATGGCCTGAGTCCAGATACATCAGCAACCCTATGTCACCTGCCCCTGGTGTCACAGATGATTTTGATGCTGAAGTTCAGCTGGTCATAGCAGACCAGATTATGGTCTTGCTTATCTCTCTTGTCTCTACAACACTTGCTGTCTTTTCTGTCTGCCCATGAGACCAGAATTGACCTTTGCAGATGATTTAAAGCTGTCAGCAATTCTTTATCAAACACCTTTATGGATTCAAGGTTACATTTTAAACTTACGTTCCTCCCGTAAAGGAGCTCGTAGTTTACAGAAGACAGACACACCAGCGTAATTTAATCGTAGAACCCTTAGGTGATTAAAGGGTTTTAAGCAGAGTAATAATATGGTTAGATTTTCATTTTGGAAATAATTCTGGTAATAGGATAAAAGTGGCTTTGAGTGAGAAGAATGTAAAGGGAGATGATGGTGGTAATAGGTCAGGAGAGAGATGAAGTAATGTGAGAGTCGTGGTAAAGGTTAGATGGCTCACAGACAGAAGAAGTATTGAGAAGAAGGACTCGCTGGGGCTTGGCGTCCAATTCTATGTGGACTGTCAGCGCTTTCTGACTCTATCTAAGTCTAAGTTTCCATGTTTTTACTTAACGGTGTCAACATCAGCAGTGGCTCACTTTTACTGCAGAGAAGTCCTGGCACACAGCTCAGCCTCCACAGAGAAGGGTGCTTGCCTAAAGGG